ACCATCTGCTGAAGCCTGACATCAAATCGATCATGTTTTTGTCTTTTTTTTTATGTTTGGGCTGTGACGCCGTCGGCCATGTTTGCTGTCCTCCTCTGACCTCGCCCAGGCTTCCCAGTTTCCTTCTTCTCATTACTGCTGGCATGAATAAACAATTCCAACGCAGGTTCAGGGCGGCACACCGATGATGCTTCTTACTGTTTGATTTTATTCTTCGGTGCTCGCGCCTCCATTTGTGGGATATAAACATGTTTTTCTACGAAGCGTCCTCTTTTTAAAGGAAGCTAAAGGTCTGCACTGTCAAATGCTGCAATTCAATGCCTTCACTTTTACAGACTTTTGAATGAAATCACTCATTTCTGTTCAAAGAGAAAGTAAACAAGCCTGAGACTACGACCAGATTTCAGAGGTCGTTACTGAAAATCTGCTTTATTATTATGTGAACCTGGAAAATAATTAGAAAGTTTGAGGATTTAAAAACATTTAAAGTACAAGTAGAGGCTTACAAATCATTTCTTGAATGAAAGTTTTTGACGGGACATGAAGGAAAACCAAAAGCCTCCAAGTTTGAAAAATGACTCCTCAAAGCCAGGATAGAAGGAGCTGCAGTTCCTCTAATGTCCACTAGAGGCAGTGAGTCCACAGACTGTTAAAACTTTACAGCAGAAATAAACAGTTTACAGCCTGATACAAAAACTGTTTTGGTCTCTGTGGATAATTTCTCCCCATCATAACATTTGAACGGTCGTAAAGTATTTAATATCTTATTAATTTAAAGTTTACTAAGCCTTAAGTTTAGGGGGCGTGGCCACTAACCTGACCCAGGCGACTGTAGCTGCTAGCGTCTGTCTGATTTCCTGCCTCTGGTGTTTTGTTTGTTTCCTGTTTTAATTTGAAAGTCCGTTTTCATGTCTTCTGTTTTGCTTCCTGCTCTGTGAGCGTTTGCCCCGCCCTGATTTCACTGAATCAGCGACCTTTCACTTTCCCGCCTCTCTGTTCCCACATTCAGTGATGACATGGTCAGTATTTCTCCCTCTGGGTCTGAAGCTCCCTTCCTCCTTTTAAGGCCACAGTCCCCTTGATAGAGCTTGTTTTCTGATTGGCTGCCCCTCATGAATGAAAGGTTTGCACAGCAGGTGGGCGGGGCCACTGCGATAACTTCAGACAGCGGGGATGTCGTCTCTCTGTGAGTAGAGTGTTTCGAGCAGCGCAGAGCTCTTGGCTCAGTGCGATTGCTTTCACATAAACTGGCCTCATTATTTGTGTAACGTGTGCATCCAGCATTGTAACTGCATGTGACAGGAAGTATGGTAGGTCCCCTTTAACGAGCCTCCCTCGCCGTCCCCGCTCGTTATCGCTTAGATTTCTCTGACCTTATTTATTTAGAGCGTACTTCTGCAAACACGAGGAGGGTTTAAGTCTATCGACACAAACCAGAGTCTGTTTGTTTAAAGTTACACGTTTACAAAGAGCGCATGCAGCCGTGTGAGGCGTGCACACGTGTGTTCATGAACACGCTTACATGATTAAATCTGTCAGTAACAAAACTCATTAGCGTAGAGAGAGGACGAGCGTTTCAAAAGGTAACGTGATGAAAGCGTGGTGGTGTGAACGAGCGTGTTCATGTGAAAGGAAGGCAAACACAGAGTGGGAGGAGCTTCACCTCCAGCAATTAAAACGCCATGAATAACTCGACGCTCCAATTAAAACAACTGAAACAGATCAGAGCAAATTTTCTTTTTCCATCCTCCACATCACACATCTGTGTGTGTGTGTGTGTGTGTGTGTGTGTGTGTGTGTGTGTGTCTATAAATGTGACGGAGGAGGACTTCACACAGGGGGTCCTGTGGGCTCCAGGATAGCTGATCTTCTCTTTTTCTTCTCGCTCACACTGATTGGTTCAACCCTGCGAGTCCAACAGGTATCTCTACATCGTCACACCATGTGTATGTTTTGGGGCTGTGATTTTAAAGGCTTGTTTTTAGGGCAGGATTCAGATTTTCACTGGCTGAAGCACTTTTGGAAGAGTCACAGTTTGTTCCTTCAAACTGGATCTATAGGTGCTCACAGCAAACGTGACCAAAGTTTAAGATTATGAGGTCAAGTGAACCACAGACTGATCTGATAAACACTGTGTTTCATGCAGCTTTCTCTACTCTTGGATCTGCATGATGTCATAGAGAGCAGAGACCTTTAAATGGCAATACCAAATGCAGAAGCCCCACCCACTTGGTTCAAACGTTCAGTTTATGGCAGCCAGTTGGTGTAAAGGGGGTTTAAATGTTCAGAAGGAGCATGAGTGACTGAACAAAGGCCCAGTAGAAAGCAAAGAAGGATTATTTTGAGCTGAGTCATGCAAAGCTACTGTAGTAAGGTCCATGGTGCTGAAAATGACTAGAATGGGTCCAATGGCGTCCCCTTGTGTGACTAAATGAACAGAACTACATCATCTGCAAAAAGCTGCACGTCAGTGTTTTGCCTCTGAGGTGTTTGGGTGCTGAGTGGGTCCAGGTGCTGAGTGGGTCTAGCGTAGCAGGAGTTCCTGTGTGGGGCTGAATATTAACCCTTTAAGACCTACCATAGAACCAAGTCCGCCAGAGCTTATATTATATGTTTACATGCTGTGGAGCCATTTTTGGGAGCATTTCAAGTTGCTATACATCAATACAACCATTATAGCCCAGATTTTAATAATATGTCTGCATTAAGTGCATAGTAATTACATAAATTGCAAAAAAGTGCAATAAACTACAAAAAAATTGAAAATCGTTTTTGTTTTTTTAACATATATTTCTAGTTAGAGAAATTTAAGAGGCTTATCCCTCAAAACTGTAAATACAAAAAAGTTGAACAAAATAGTTTCCCACCACAGGACATTTATTTTAAGTGTCTTCATAGTTTTATTTTTGAAATACACCAATTTTTATACACTGCAGGAAAAACAAAAATAAATATTATAATGCAAATTTGCAAAAAAGCAGCATATGCATCAAAATAAACGATTTCCAGCAGTGCAATATGAGTCCTAAGCATCCCAGAAACCACACAGAAAGTCATAAAGTCAAACATAACTTTTAAAAACACCAGTATAGGCTCATGAGGCCCTGATGGTAAAAAACTACATTTCCGCAAAATGACTTCACTTCCGGTTTCGGGCAGGTCATGGAGGACATGCGATAGTTCACGCTGATGGACGTAGGAAGTGTTACAAACAGCTGATCGGATCGGCAAAGCGTGTTTCTGGAATATTATGTTTTTGTTGCTGCAAGTGCTTTTTATGCAGTTTTTGCAAAGCTATATGTGGAAGGAAACTGTGACCGAGGACAAGCTGATGGCATAAGATGTAAGTACAACTCCTCCCGTTTCATATGCAAAAAAATTATTGTGCTAGCTCACGTGGTTGCAGAGCTACCGGGATTTAAAAATAGTTACGCAAAACAGAGCGTGCCCGCTCTGACCAGCTTTAAAGGGCTAAGAAGCACTGAGCAGGTGTTTCTCACAGATATCTAAACTCTGCTGCTGTCTCTTGTCATGTCTTCATGTAACATTTGCAACACATGACATCCTGACGCTGACACGTTTCGTCCCAAACAGAGTTCATTGTTGTGAAGTTGCATTGCAACTCCTACTGGTGTTTGTTTTAAAGACAGCAGCGCCTGAGCCTCACGAGTCCGTGTGAACCGTCAGACCTGACTGTAAACATGCTGCGTCTCTGCAGGACTCACGTTTCTGTCATAAATCTGTGTTTGTGTCTGTTTCCACACGTGTGACAGCAAACTACACGCTTGTTTTTCATGTTTAATGTAACACGCATATTTATCACGCTGCTGTGTGTGTGTGTGTGTGTGTGTGTGTGTGTGTGTGTGTGTGTCCAGGTGTCACTGTATCGATCGCCCTCCCTCTCTCTCCGCTCTGTGACTGGATAATGGAGACATCAATTATTCAGCAGCGACACAGTCTATCACCTGAAATACCATTCACTCTGTGTGTGTGTGTGTGTGTGTGTGTACACAAATATAATGTGTAATTGTGTCTTCTCTCTGACATTTCCTCCAAACGTATCGATGATCAATTATTCACAAGCCGCAGAGCGAGAGCGGGCGAGCGACACAGAGATTGAATGGAGAGAGAGAGTGTTGTGATTTAATGTCATGTGACTCGCAGGTGTCTGTGGCCTTGTTCACGCCTGGCGTGGGTCTCTGGGGGTTCACGGCGAATCACAGCGCTTGTTTCGCTCCGGATGATAAAATGATGATGTCATAAATATGACCAACGTTTAAATGTAATGAGAGTAGTGGGAGGCGGAGCAGCAGAGGTGATTGTAAAGATGAAGCTGGCATGAGAACGCAGTCTTCTGGTGTAACTTCCTGTTTCCATGTTTTTCCTTCCTGTTTTCTTAGCCAATCAAATTCTCCCTACAAACACAGACTGACTGTTGCTCCTCGGCATCGATTGACGTCCAATGAGATCAAGTTTGGACTGATGGTTTCATGGTGTCTGTTTTACTGGTCTGAATAAAAGGCTCAGTTTTATGGCTTCATTACAGTCAAACAGTCAAACGGGTGATTTGGGGGCGACTAACGAGCTGCCGCCGTGAAGCTCGATTAGAGGCTCCACACTGTCAGTCAAAGCCTCCATCCTTTGGATACAGTCTGTGTTTAGCCGTGCACATTAACACCGTCGTCTGCTCGCTCGTGCACAGATAACTGCAGCACAGTTAATAATAGCAGCGATTCCTCCGATCGATCCGTTTGATTGGAGCGACCCGGAAATCCACTGTTAAAGCAGGAAAGTGGGAAAGCTGGGAAAACATCCCAGAAATCCACATCACAGCTTTTAGCCGAGGCGGAGCAGCAGCTCACAGGAAACATGACGAAAGAGTCGGAAACTCACTGCCGAGCACGGTGTTCATAATCACATACACTCTGTTACCTGAAACCTCACTCTGTGTGTGTGTCTGTGTGTGTGTGTGTGTGTGTGTGTGTGTGTGCCTCTTTCAGGACCGGGAGGCGGAGTCAGTGTTACCGCATCATCTACCGCCACATGGAGCGAACTCTGACCCAGCAGGAGGTCCGACGTGTCCACCAGCAAATCGAACAAGCTGCCGAGAGCGAGCTGGGCGTGCAGGGCCGATTCTGACACACACACCACACACACACACACACACACACACACACATATAAATGTATTTCTATACCTCAGAGCTGTTAAGTAGCTGTGAGATTTCACTGTGAGGGGAAACACGTTGACTTCAATAAAGACGTCACTGTCTTTGATGCTGCGCACACACACACACACACACACACACACACACACACACACACACACACACACTTTTCGGCTCCTCTCAGGTGAAACATCACTTGTGTCACTTTTAATCTCCCAAACTCGTCCTCGGCTGTTCGGACGGCAGCTGCTGGACTACAGAGAACATCAGAGCGTCTTCATCATCCCTGCCTGGGATAATAAATCCATCAGACTGAACCGAGCGCCGTCTGCACATCCTTC